CTTGCTGTTAAGCAAATCTGGCTTCCCCCATTGACTTTGCTTGCCAGAAGCCAACTGGAAAAGGTTACAAATGGTGATCACATAAGCTGGGACAGTGTAGCTGTCAGTTGCCGAGCACCTGAATTTTTATTGTGTGACTATGAGGATGCTGCAATGGTCATAAGTTCAAAAATCAGTTATAAGTTCTTTTTTTCACTCCAATTGCAACTTTAAACAGTGACTAAATTAATGGTCATTAAGTCAAAGACAACCTGGATACAAGGCATAACCCTGTGTAACTACTAATATTATGGTCTGAGCTGCTCTAGACCAGCGGTTCTCAACCTATGGGTTGCGACCCCATTTGGGGTCAAACGACCATTTCACGGGGTTGCCAAACAACGCAGTCCACCATTTTCCCCCCTTTTTCTTAGCTGTGCTTTTGAAAGCCAATAAAATAGATTCTATTCAAGAAACTCTATTCCATTGGCGTTCGAAAGCCAATGGAATAGACTCTTTTGAATAGAGTCTAATTCTATTGGCTTTCAAAAGCCAATAGGAATTGTCCAGACCTGGCCGTTAAAGGCTGTTTCTGCACTGCTGAGCATGGCAAAAGTCCCAGCCGGCAAACGTCTGCAGCAAAGGCGAGTTTGCAGGAACTTTCCACCCATCCCTGCTGAGCCATCTTCTACTCTACTACTTGTAAGTAAAAGGGGACCAGGGGGGAGGTGGGTAGCAGCGTTTAACTCTGCCCTGCTGAAAAAGCGTGCTCACCTCGTGTGCCATTGGTGTAGTGTGCGGGTAGTGCTGTGGGAGCCACGGGGCCAGTTTCACACAGCGGGGCTGCGCGGGACAGGCAGCAGTGGAGGTGGACGTGGTTCTGGCGAGGCAGCAGCTGGCGCTGCGTGCGAAAGTGGCGCATGTGGGGTGCGGCAGATGGCTGAGCAGCCGGCCAGGCTCCGTGTCAATCCACACTTGCAGCATCGGGGCCGGGGTCCTGGTGAGCTGACGGCGCAGGGCGGGAGGAAGGCATGCAGGCAGGCAAATAAGTGCCGGGCCACGATCCACACCCTACGGGAGGAAAGGCTCTGCCGAAGAGCGGCGGCAGCGCTGCTGCTGAGCGGCGAGTGGCCATAGCTGGGGGGGAGCGTCGGGGGGCGCTCCCAGCCCCCCATCCATCGGGGAGGGGGCACTCCTCTGCACCGGGACTGGGGTTGTGCAAATCGCAGCGCGCCTCCTTTCCCGCTGCCAGCCTGGCCCGGTTCGCCCTCCTGCGGCAGGCAGAGCTCGGCAGGATTTGGCCCTGGAAAGGCCAGGCTAGCTGGCCGGCTGGGAAGGCTGAGCAGCCCCGGTGAGGGAGCCGTTCCTGCCCTGTGGCCAGGAATCTCATCCGGCTCAGGGGCTGCCTGACCAGCGTGGGGATGTCCGCATCAGCTGCCTCCTGGCGGGCCTGCTAACTGTGAGCTCCCGGCTGGCTTCCTCCGTGAATCAGGCACTGTGGAACCACCCCTAATTGTACCCGGGAGGGGCCGACCGAGCCCTGGGCTGACTTTTGCAGCTCCAAAATGCCGCTTGCCTGAATTCTTTCTGCCTCCTGGGGGAAAGTTGCACCTCATGGCCCAATTATGGGTGTTATTCCAGCGTGGTCACTTAATTTGGATGTTTCTGTTGTTATTGGTTTTGCTGTCATTACTCTTTTTAAAAGTTTTTAGTATTTTTAATTGTAATACATCTTTGAATTCTAACCTGCCCAGAGTCACTGAAAGGAGAAACCAGAGATATTGAGGGGAGAGGAGAGAGAGAGAGAGAGGAAAGAAAGATAGAAAGAGAGAAGGAAAGAGAGAGGGAGAGAGGAAAGAGAGAGGGGGAGAGGAAAGAGAGAGAGAGAGGAAAGAGGAAGAGGAGAGAGGGAGAGGAGAAAGAAGAGAAAGAGAGAGAGGAAAGAGAGAAAGGGAGAGGAAAGATAGAAAAAGAGAGGAAAGAGAAAGGGAAGAGAGAAAGAGGGAGAAAGAGAAAAAGAGGGAGAGGAAAGAGAGAAAGAGGGAAGAGAAAAAGAGAGAGGAAAGAGGAAAGAGAAAGGGGAGAGGGAGAGGGAGAGGAGAGAGGGAAAGGAAAGAGAAAAAGAGAAGGGAGAGAGGAAAGAAAAAAGAGAAAGAGGGAGAGGAAAGAGGAAGAGGAGAGAGGGAGAGGGGAAAGAGGAAAGAGAGAGGAAAGAGAGAGGGAGGAAAGATAGAAAGAGAAAGGAAAGAGAAAGAGGGAAGAGAGAAAGAGAGGGAGAGGAAAGAGAAAGAGGGAGAGGAAAGAAAGAGAGGAAAGAGAAAGAGGGAGAGGAAAGAAAGAGGGAGAGGAAAGAGAGAAAGAGAAAGAGAGGAAAGAGAAAGAGAGGAAAAAGAGAGGAGAGGGAGAAAGAGAAAGGGTGAGAGGGAGAGGAAAGATAGAAAGAGAAAGAGAGGAGAGAGAAAGAGAGGGAGAGGAAAGAGAATGAGAGAGAGGAAAGAGAAAGAGGAAAGAGAAAGGGAAGAGAGGGAGAGGAAAGACAGAAAGAGAGGAAAGAGAAAGAGGGAGAGGAAAGAATGAGAGAGAGAGGGAAGAGAGAAAGAGGGAGAGGAAAGAGAAAGAGGGAGAAAGAGGGAGAGGAAAGAAAGAGAAGAAAAATAGAAAGAAAGAGGGAAGAGAGAAAGAGAGAGGAAAGCATAACCACTATGCTTTAATTATGTTCAATTTATAACAATGAAAATACATCCTGCATATCAGATATTTATATTGCGATTCATAACGTAGCAAAATTAGTTATGAAATAGCAATGAAAATAATTTTATAGTTGGGGGGTCACCACAACATGGTGGCCACGCCCAGTTGGTGGCCACACCCACTTGGCCACGCCCCTGGCACCCAGCGATGTAAGTGGTTGGGGGTCACCACAACATGGGGAACTGAATTATGAGGTTGCGACATTAGAAAGGTTGAGAACCACTGCTCTAGACTGTAACTCAAGAGAATTTCTTCCCACACAGAGATAGGAATAGAAATAGGTTTCTATGTTCTAGCATTCTTCTAAGCCAGGGCTTTTCAACCAGTGGTACGGGTACCACCTGTGGTACATTGGCACCTGGCAGGTGGTACGCGACCGTCCTAGAAAAGTGGTAGTGGGGGAGGGGAATGAGCTGAACCGGTGCCAGCACTTCACAAGCATGAGCGAGAGATGACTGGAGCTGCAGGGCTGTCGCTTTCCAGCTGATCGGCGCTTCTTTGGGGCTGTCAGGGCTCAGTGGAAGCACCAGGTTCAGTGTCAGGCTCCAGCTCGAGCTCGGCGCTGATCCTGGCGCTTCTGCTAAGCCCAGAAGAAGCGCCGATCAGCTGGAATGTTGCAGCATCCCCGGGGTCTTGTGATTTACGTTCAGATGCTTGACAACTGATTCATATTTATGATGGTCACTGTGTCCCAGGGTCATGTGAAGTGACCAAAACCTGCTGCAACCACACAGCAGACGGGGGAAATAAAAACCAAACACCCCCCCACCCCACCCCCACTGCTAATCCTCAACAGAAATGCTTACAACAATGAAAACCTCGGACAGGAGGAAGAGCGCAACCGGGTGGGCAGGCAGGTGTCTTGCTTGGCTGTGGCTTGGGGGGGGGCACTTTTTCAGTGTCATTGTAACTTTGAACAGTCACTAAGCAAACTGTTGTAAGTCAAGGACTACCTGTACTTTATCACTTTTTTCCTTTTTTTTTTTTTTTTTTGGTCATCGGGTTTTTGACACCTTGCTAGGCGACTAGTGGTACTCAGATGTTGCCATATCCTAAAAGTGATACAATGGGTGAAAAGGTTGAAAAGCCCTGTTCTAAGCCACATAACATATAGCTGCATTGTATTAAGGGTAGAATGTTGGATATATATGATTTTGGATAGTACAAATGTAATTGTGGGGGGCAATTCCCACAATCTTTCACAATAATTATTTTTTGAGAATAATCTGATAATCAGTTAATCAGTGATCTAGTACAGGCATGTCAAACTGCCGGCCCACAGACTGGATGCGTCACGCCAAAACCGCACCTACCCTATTGCCAGCAATGGGGGAAAAGTCCCAATACGTCACGTGATGTCACATGACGTCATGAGTTTGATATGCCTGATCTAGTATGATATGAAAAGCCAACTAAATGTAAAAACCCATTACTAATTGGTCATTGTCAAATGAGATCAGCATGTGTGATTATAATCTTTGCCCCAATATGCATCATTTCATACTTGCTACTATATACCATTTTAATATGCATTCATTTTCTGTGAACATGTTTAATGTTTCCTTACCATTCTAAAATTACTGTGTGTCATTAGCAAATGTTTTTCAGCATTCATCTCAGTGCTTTTGTCCCTAGTTAAAATACATTCATCTTAATGTAGATCTTTGAGGGCCAGTTCAATATAGTGGTTAAGGCATTAGCCTAGTTATTTGAAGATCGTAAGTTCTAATTCTGCCTTTGGCACAAAAATCACCTGAGTGACCTTGGGCCAGTCACTCTCTTTTAGCCTAAGGGAGAAGAGAAAAACACTTCAAAAATCTTGCCAATAATACTGCAGGGACCACTAGTCCATGTGATCATCATCAGCCACAACAGACTCACTTAAAGGCAAAAAACCAAAATTGGACTTTTGATGCATCCTGTTTACATGCCATTAAATATGCAATCATTCCTACTCTGCTTTCCGTTCTTCAACCAGTTTTCAATTTATAAAATAATTCCCATGACTTTTAATTTTGCTCAAGTATCTTTGGTGAGAGACTATCAAAGATTTTTTTGAAAACTGAAAGTCTATTGGTGGACAACTGTCAACACTCTAAAAGATTACAGAGTTAGTGATATTTTGCGTACTTCTGTTGACTCCTTTTCAGCAGGATATGATACTTTGCATGGTATTAACTTTAATAATGCTTTCCACAAATGTACTCCATCTTTAGTTATTTTATTGCAGTAACAATTACCTTCTAAAACAGCAGTGGATGATTATGGGCTACATGGAGCCATTTTTCTGTGAATCCTGAAATCCTCATGATTGCATGTTCCCCTATTGAGTATATTTTATTTTGTTTTTCATTTTTTAAAATAATCGTTATGTTAAGCCTATGTTAGAAAACAGTGGCAAAATGAGGTATTATGGCTTCTCTGATGTTTTTATGTTACTTCTAAATTCATTTCCCAGATACCATGCTAAGAAACAAAAGTTTGGAAAAATGTGTTTTATTTTTCTCTTTGAAAATTTAACACAAAATGCACCAGGAGCAGCGACAAACATATAGAAATCTCTCACTGGAATTAGATTCGGGCAAGATATCTAGTTTCTGTAGGGAAAATTTAAATTGGAGGTCATCCGATTTATCAAATGAGCTTCCTGTTACTTAGTCCAATTGGCATCTCAAAAGGTCAGTAGATTTTCAGTCAGAAGTTCAAAAGTTATAGTACAACTTTTTTTTAGCATTAAAAAGATAACCTCCTGGATCAAATGAAAGTCCTTTGTTTAATTAAAGACCCTGTTTTCCTCAGTGACCAATCCCTCTGGAAAACCCTTACATAAGATAGGACCAGAGTAGCTCCCATTTTTTTGCACCAAGCAAACAGTATATATAAAGAAATTACATTTCTAACCTGAAATTCCTGACAAATATCATAAGTAAGATGTTATGGGAAGATCATCAATCATTTAAAGCCATGCAAGTTGGTTGCTGCTTCTACATTTTAGGTACAACTACTGGCAGGAAAGCATTTGAAGACACCTTATCAAACCTGTTGCTTCCATTCCTGAATTCTCCAGATGCCCACATCTTACAATATGTCACATATAAGTATTTCGTGCAAACCAGAGATTCTCCTTTCTTTTGAATATACATATAGCTGAAGAGGATGGGGAGATGAGACAATGGCAGCTTTGCTTTCTCCGTAATCTTCTTTTACATTCTCTACAAGACAACTGAGAACCTTCTTCCCTACAGCCAGCTGGAAGGGGACAAAATATAGGTATGTGGATATGTGTTAAATTTGGATTGCTAACAAAGAGTAAAAGGGAAGCTGGTATAGCTATTTCAAGCTCCTTAGCTCTCATCAGCCAGCTACATCCTTCTGAGATTTCTTCTTCCCATATTTGGGCTGACCGGGTATATCATAAAAAACACTTAAGACATGTGGATATGTAGCAAAAAGAACCACTGGTAGCAAAACAAGGTACAAAAGACACTTCCAAGTTGGAACTTGACAATCCTGCCCCTTGTCCTTACTCTTTCCTGTAAAATGGATGCAGGAGTGGCCAGAGCTACTAGCCCAAATACCCCAAAATAATATTGTGACATGCCAACTCTTACCTATCCTACCTACCGAATCAATACACCAAAGCAAATACAATTTTGGACTTGCCCATTCAGAAGTAAATTTTATTTAGTTCATGATATTAATGCTAAATAAATGGGTGTAGGATCCTACCCTTATTTTAATAAACTCATAAATGTACAGTATTTCCAATGAAAATGTTAACATTTCCCAGATGAAAGCAGCTTAGAAAGGACATGATCCTATTGTGCAAAGCATTGCATCTTTCTCTATTCTTCACCTTTCTTTCTCCCTGGAGAAATCTCCTTGTATCATCCTCAGCCTAGTGGTTCAATGGCTAGAATGCAGTATTGCAGGCTAATTCTGCCCACAGCTCAAGGTTGACTCAGCCTTCCATCCTTCAGAGGTTGGTAAAATGAGGACCCAGATTGCTGGGGCCAATATGCTGACATTAGAGAGAGTGCTGTAAAGCATGGGGTGGTATATAAGTTTAGAGGTGCTATTGCTATCCTGGTTTCTCATTCATACATTTAATAACCAAGTAAGGTAGATCTTATGGAATGGCAAGCTCATATACATGATCAAAATTCACACTCTTATAGGCAAATGGACTATAGCGAACATTCCACTGAAAACTCTATAGTGGGGCAAAAGTCAGCATTCACTTCCTTGGCACCTCATTTGAAGGAGTGTCTTATAAGACCTTCCAAGAGGAACTAAAAATCCTGCCTTACTTGCAAGGGGTTCTTTCTATCTACTGAATGAGGTACTTTTCTCAAACGGAAGTGCCGATTCCCTATCTGATTACCTCTTGCATGTAACTAAAACTAAAGAAGCACTATAGTCTAACAAAAGCATAAACCCTCTCCCATTTTTGAGCATTTATTTCTTGTGGTGCCTTCCCCTCCCACCTGCATCAACCTACTTCTAGTACTGCTACAATCATGGCAGACACTCAGATGATAGTCTTTCAAGGATATGACTCAAATTCTGAAAGTCATAGGAGGTCTTTTATGAGTGAAATTATGAACATTTAGTGTATCCACCATTGCAGCTTTCTTCAACATATTTTACTGGAAATAAGGAGAACCGTAATTAACATTTCTGGAGGACATCAGATTGGAAAAGGCAACAGCAGTTCTTAAAAAGTGACAGTGGAATAGTCTGTTACCCTCCCATTCATGGCTATGATTCTCTCAAATGCACCTGGTTGGTGTGAGAGATTGCATAGAAGCAGGGGATAAGGATTTGGTTTATCTGAGAAGAGGCAACATGTCCAGATATGTGAAATGTGGGAAAAGATTTTCAGAGCTCAACCCTAACAGATTTCAAGATTCTGTATCCCCCCACAGAACAACATGAAAGATATATTCCCGAAATCCATGTTGCTCTTGCTTACTTGGTTTTGCCAGTTACCGTGTTTCCCCCAAAATAAGGCGGCTGTTATTTTTTTGGGGGACCCAAAGACCCATTAGGTCTTATTCTTGGGGGATCTCTTACATACAGCAGGTTGTGGGGGGCGGGGCGACATTTGGTACAAACAGCAGAGCATGGTCAGCGCATGGGGTGGAGACGCAGAGCTTCGAAGCGTGGTGATGATTGGGCCAACCTCGGAGTGTGGGGGAGGGCCAATTAAAGGTATGAGAGAGTTCAGAAGGGGGGGCGCAGGTGCTCTTCCTGTGCCAGGCCAGCCCCTGCAGCTCTGGGGTGGCTGTGCTGGGCAGTAGCGGCCAGGCTGACACTCCTCTGGGCGGAACGGGGCCACCTTCCTGGGCCAGCCTACCCAAGAGCAGGGAGGCAGCAGTCCAGGGCCAAAGCACCAGCGGAGTCCCGGAAGGTCAAGAAGGGTGCTGAAGCGAGCAGGCATCCTGCATGCAGAGCCATGCCAGCTGCCCTTTCCCTGCCAGAGCCAGAACGCTGCCATGTTTCAGTTGATGCTGGCTTTCCCTCCAATGGGCCTGGGCAGCTGCTGGAGAGAGACAGGCCCGTTTTGGTGCCTGGTGCCCTTGGAGGGTTTGCCTTGCCATCTGCTTTCCAGCTGTGTCGCATTTCTGTGTCACCGCGGAACTGGAGAGCTTGTTGCACCACTGCTCAGATGCCCTCACTTCCCCCAAGCATTTCTTCACTAACCCAATTTCCAGCTCCGTTGTATTTCTCCATCATGTTTCTCGGCTGCTGCGTGCAGGGAAACATAAGTTTGTGGGACTAAAAAAAAAAAAAAGGTTCAATTAGACCTTCCAACTTCATGAGATCTTTTTTGTGTGTGTGAGAAGTTGGAAGGTCTGATTGAACTTTTTTTTTTTTTTAGTCCCACAAACTTTTGTTTCCCTGCACATGGTGGCGGAGAAACGTGACAGAGAAACACAACGGAACTGGCCTTGTCCAGCAGGATATCTAGACGGGTAGCAGGTTACCCATTTGGAAGACAAGTGGAACATTTATTGAGACACTGGTAGAGAGAGTTTTGTGAGAAGAGGATCTGTGGACTGAATAGGTTTATAGCCTCCCTCCTGCCTTTTCCAACTTTCCAACAAAAATGAAAAAATGAATGCCCAACTGCAATGTCATAAATAAAAGAGGAGAGCAATACAAAGCAGAGCCTGAAGAAATCCTGAATGCATGGCTTCACAGGCCTTAATTATGGCATTTCTTAAACAACGAAGCTGGTATAGCTAGTGCAAATATCTCAAAAAGAATAGAAATATGTACATATCATATTAGGGGATCTCAGCAAAGTGCTTTGATGGTTACTACAAATCAGTAGCCCTTGTAACGTATTCCAACATTCTCTGCTCCCTCAGAATAGAAGGAAAGGGAATAGGGATAAAATGGGAGAGGCTTCAGTTCAGCCACAGAGGTCCAGGTAGAGACAGCAATCTAGCCTTATAAGTTAAAAACAGTCAATGTACAAAATATACAGTTTCCATTGTACAGAGACAAGTGGATCTGAGCTAAAATGTAAATACCTCCAGTACCCCTATAGGTTTTAGGACGAGGTATGGAAAAGGGAAAAGTCAAAAGGAATTCATCATTGCAAATAGAAATGCTAAATGAAGAGTGTGATTCATTGGCCAAAGTCCTCAAAAATTCAGATACTCCTGTTTCTGAATGTCTGCAGAAAAAAATTGGTGGACTCCAAGGAATAATCACAGATATTCTAGTGCCATCAATGAATTGTCTTTGAATATATTTCCTCCAGTATTGGAAACAGCTAACAGGAGTTAGTAGGGCTATTTATCAAAAGTCAACCCATTTCACTAGCAATTGCTTGAAACCTGGCAACACCTCCAGAGCAATCATTATCAACTTATCTTCTTGGATTATGATATGGCTGTTAATGTGTCATGGTTCTTATGTTCAGTTGTTGGGGCACAAGATGTATACGCAGGAGCAGATCTGTTTGATGAGACCATCTCTGCAAATTCCACAATGTGGGCAAGATATATATATATATATATATATATATATATATATATATATATATATATATATATATATATATATATATATATATATATATACATACACACACACACCTCCAAGAGGTTACATGTTTTTTCCCCAACCAAGGCCTTCGCAGGATAAACTTGGTTGTTAGTGAGCAAGTTGGCTCTTGTTCGTGGAAAAGTTTATACTTTTGACCAAGGTGGCCTGGACCCAGTCATTCCAAACACCCTCTTAGCTCTCCATTTCACAGCAATTAGAGTAGGATATCCCCATCTTTGCTGCCCTTCCAAAACCTTTCTTGTGAGGTAGGTCCCCTGCCCATTGGTGACACGGTCCTCCTTCATCTGGATGTTACCCCCAGAGCCTGTTTCATATTCTCATACACGACATAGCTGATGCTGACAGCAGGAATAACCTTCATGAAATTGGGGGCGATGCCACGGTAGAGGCCCAGGACCCCTTCTCGGGAAAGGATGTTTCTAAAGAGACCCAGCATGGTTAGCTGTGGTGCACCTTCAATTGATGCTGTAGAGAGCCAATGAAAAAGAGAGGAAAGATTAGTAGGATGCTGTCAAAACATACCTGATAAAGCAGGTGAAATTCAGAGAGTCTTGTTTGAATAGGGTCACCAGGTCTTACATGGCTTGAACTCAAACCCATGGGACAGAGCCTAAGAGTTTGTGCAGGGGGAGAAGGACTGATAGATCAAGACTGGAAGTATTGCATGCCAGAATTCGAACAGGACCTCAAGATAATCAACAGAGAAAACAACCTGGCCCCTCATGTTGAAAACTGATTCCTCCTTTTTCTTGGAGGAACAGACAACCATGAACATACAGGTCAGATTTGGAGACCTGTTAGTTTTAAGATGAATAATGAGGCCCAGGATGAGCCTTACCTTTCCTATCCCATTTTCCCTTTCAGTTTCTTTCCCACTAATCTCCCCTATGTCCACTCCTCTGATACTAAGATTTCATGCTTAATTATCTTCCCTGTAATGGTTATCCCACCTATAATGGCTGTCAACCTTCTCCATCGAGGATGCTCCTTTCTTACCTTGAGCCTGCATCCGGGTTCGCACCAGGGCTAGGGGATAACTGGCAATTTGGCCACAGGTACTGGAGACAGTGCCACAGGCCAAGAGGACCAAAACTCCTGGGTCAGCAGTGTTCTTGCTGTACTTCTGTAACCAGGTGTTCTTCAGTGTCTTTGGTGAGAAATGTGAGAAAGGGGGGTAAGGTGATCTGGACATCAAAAGCCAAGCACAAATACATTGCAGAAAAGGGAGGGAAACCACTGGTAGTAACCCTCTTTTACCTGTGAATAAGCACTCTCCTAAGGATGAGTAGCTAATCCTCAAAAGTGGTCCAAAGGAAAGAGCATGTTAGCATAGCCTCTTCCTTGGACAGCTCCTTTATTTTTTGAACCCACGCCCAACCACTGACCTCATAAACTGCCAGGTCGATACCAGCATAGGGGATAATGCCCAACATATTTGGTAGGTAGCCCTTGTAAAAGGCAGGGATTCCTTCCTTCTGTAGGATCTTCCTGGCACAGTCTGCCACCCCGGAATACTGGCCTGTCTTGCCAAGGGCCAGTCGTGTCTTCATAACCTAGGGGGAGAAAAAATAATGAACCAGATGTTAAACAAGAAAACACTGTCTCGGTATCTGCATCTGTTCCTTCTAATTTTACACCTTCCTGTACCTAATTTCAAGAATCTTCTGCAAGTGATTAGTTCAGAAATATAGCAAGCATTTTCTTTTTCCTGGTGCCTTGTAAGATGTCAATTAAAAGAAGATTGGCCCAGACCATCTTGGTTATGATCCATCTCATGCTACTGTTGTTGAATGGGGCTCCCTACTAATGCAAAAAAGGAATGGCTTTTCCAAGATAAACAGCTGTCAATTCAGTTGTCTCTACTTAAACTGACAGTGTTTTTCTATTATTTTATTTTGTCGCCCAGATCTTGTACTTAAGAATTCCTAATTAGAAAAAAATATTTATTAAGCAATCTATTCTATCTGAAATTGGTGATACAAATTATTTACCAAGCTAACATCTGAAATTGATAATGAATTTGGATGAAGTTAGGGTTTAGGAATTAGGGTTGCCCATGATAGGCATTTTGAATTCCTGTGAAATGTGGAATAATTTAGTTCTGTTGGGTGTCATAATCTCCATAAAAGATCCATTTTTCAATCAGGAATACTCCAGGATACTGGATGCCTCTTGCATGCTCAGGCTGTGGTGACGAGCAAGAATACATTTTATCACTTTAGGTACTAACTTAGCCATTTCCAGGGGGAAAAAAAGGAATTGGAACCTAGGCCCTAAACTCCTATATCAACTATTGCATCTGTGACAGTTATTTGGAAACTATAATTCACTTAACCTTATGGCAGCCAGATTAATTGCAGAACATATATAAACATGAGTTTTGCTGATTGAAGTTATATGTTTAAACTATTCAAGATGCCATTTTGATGATGTTGGATGGGTATTGGAATCAGATGTCTAACAGTGGGCTTTTAAAATATGCAGTTAATGTTTTGTGCTTCTTTAAATGCTAGATATGATTTTATGTTAGCTTCTTTTACTGTTTTGTTAGCTTCTTTTACTGTTTCTATTTTATTGGTGCTTTACATTATTTGTGTTATTGGTATTGTAACTGTATCATGTCTTGAAAATCATGATGACAAAAAGCAGATTAAAAATAATCTAAATACGTACAAACGAGCAAAAACTGGGTTTTAGTCTGCTAATACCACTTCCTGGATAGAATTTAGCTAATATCCAGAATAAATTGGAAATGAAGACTCATGACATACATCTCTGGTATTGGTACTAAGATCACTCTGTGCCCCTCTCCTTCCCAAACACAGGGAATCAAGATAGAAAGCAGATGCCTTTTGAAATATTATGAATTCTGCCTGAGTTTTCTCATGAATGAAAGAATATGCTGGGAAGAACAGCTCTGACATATCCATTCTTGCAATGCTCAACTTTCTCCTCACCGACATTAGCTTTATGTAAACTACAAGTCCAATTCAAAAAAATCTTATCTCAAACTGGCAAACTGGGCATACATACCCCATTCATTTTATATCAAAAAGGTGTACTAAGACTAATGGGGAAGGTGCTAGAAAGGAATAGCACACATAAACCCCACACATTATCATACCTGGAATGAACTGCATCTCTGAGCCTCTACCAGCAGTTTTAAGAAGGAATCCACAGTTAGGTAAATGCCCTCTCCTCCCCTACCTACCAACCTTTGAATAACTCTCAGCATGAGATTAAAATTGCTATTTACTCTGAGCTGGAACTTGACTAGCTTATGTCATTACCTAAAGAGGCACGTGCGCTGTTAATACTATATAATAAAGTAAGCAGACTGCTCATTCATCCTAATAAATCATGGAAAAGTCATTTGGTAAAGTATGGTTGGGCACCATCCAAAACAGCACTATTAGTACCAGAGCAAAAGTACAGTTCTCATATCTTTTATTCAAATGAACCTACTTAGTGCCCTCTGCTGAAGAGGGTTCACATTTGCCTGAAGCTCTTAATTTATCTATTTTACCTATTTTTCCTACTGCTATCATCACAATGGCCCATATTTCCAATGATTTCACTCATTTCTTAAATCTAAGCAACGTTCTATGCTCCTATTTGTGCACTTTTCTGACCGAATGGTCAGTTCATAATAAGCCATAAGGATTCTGGAGATGCTTTTGTAAAGTGAAACTTGCAAAACCCTCCGTTACTGCTGAAAAGAATCACAAACTGCTAGAAAAAGACTAAGTAAATTATTTTAAAAAGACATTTTAGAAAACATCTAAAATTATTGGGGAATACATTGGTACTAAATTGGATATAATTGCAGAAATTCATGTACCATTTTAATTTCAATAAAGCATGTTAAAGAAATTTGTAACGGTCTTGGTTTGGGGAGTAATTTCAGATGGGGCAGCAATCCTTGTTTCTGAAAACCCAGAGTGGAGATGTAAAGCAGAGAGCTCTCCTTCAGTTACCATGGAAGGAATCAGAAGACATCTCAGGTGAGTCCATCTGCTTATTCAGTTACCAAGATGGATAAAGAAGTTTAGTGGGGTCCCCCATTTTTCCAGAAGCAGCTGATCAGAAGAAAGATTAGCTTTTATGAGACATTTCCAAATCCAATGTATGCAGTACAAGAAATTTGGTACAAGGAAAGAGGAAATCTGAGCATTTTGTGTAGCAAGCAATGCCAAATGCAAATATAAGGGAAAACTACTTTTTAATCAGCTGAAGCCTAAACCTGACCCTGTGGTGATGTTTGGCTTGAACACATCCCTGGAATTATTTGAGGAGTATACATTTTGATTAAAAAGTAGAGGGCATGGCCTTCAGACACTATATACCAAAGGGGCAATTTTACCTCCATGGGGTAGATTATGGTCTGTGCTGTGGCCCCAGCCAGCGAGCCAGCAACAAATCTCTCCTGTACCCTTAAAGTTTCCTGTTGCCCACAAATTCCTCGCTTTATCTGCAAAGAAAAGCAATGGATTTAGACAGAGATAGACTGGAGACTCCTCTACTTTCATCTCAATTAACTGCATAAGAAATTACTACATTTTATATCGAGAATGGTATGTTGCTGTACCGGGATATCAATTTCTGTAGGGATTTCAATAATAAGCAATGAAACTCTTAACAGAATTACTCTTCACTATAACTTGGCTAGATCAGTTACTTCATTTTGCTGAAATGCTGATATTTAGGTTGGAGGAGAAAATGTTGGAACTTATAGAATTTTTGTTATTCATTAATCTGCTTCTCAGTTTTTTTTTTCCCAGGAGCTCAAGACAGCACTCACCAGACTTCCTTCTCCTATTTTATTCTTAGAAGATACTGAACTTAACAATCTGTCTCAAAGCATCCAGTGAGCTCCCATAGCAGAACGCAGAGTTGAATCTGAGGACTCCTAGTCCTAGCCAATCATCTAACTACTAATCTTTTGGCAACAGATTACCAAGGGAGAATGCCAAACAGAAAGCATGAAAGCATGGCTCTGAAAAAAATTCTAGTCCTGCTGTAACAGTAAGCTTGTAATCTGGGGCTCCTTCTGGATTCACGATTCCTTTAAGAAGAGCGTATAGAAGTCTGGTTAAGAAAGCCTTTGCTCACATTTGGCTGATGATTTTCAAAAATAGGGACGCTAGCGACAACCATCCTTTGCCTTGGCTGGTACGAAGTATGCCATCCCAACTGAGAAGGAATGTCATCCACTGTCATGTAACACCTTTACTTTGAAAGCTGCAGTGGTTGCGGCTCGCTTGTTGGTATTAGTGTACACAGCTACAGACATCTTTCAAATCCATACCTGCTCGTAAGCCATGAACTTGATGGCAGATTCGGGTGCAATCTTGAGAACGTTGATGCCATTGCCCCGCCACAGCGAGCACAGGCCTCCCTCGTGAATCATGCCTTTCAGTCCACCAAACACATTCATGGTGTTGTTCTTTGATGCATGGACCTGCAGATAAGGTGCAGACATAAAGTTAGTCCCTGCCTCCTCTATGAGGAGCTCTTGTTGATGGCATAAACAAAAATAACCCTGTATTATATGGGGAGGAAGCAGTGAAAATACTGTAGTGTTGGAGGGCTATTAAGAATCTTTTAAGACCTTTAAAAATGGTGATGTGAAAGATATAACATGATGTAACTATAATAATTCTTGTTCACCAAATTGGTTAATGACAATACTGTTCAAGCTGAAAAAGGGGGAGGAGCTACACATTCATCTTCCAAATATTTACAAAGTTGAAGAAGCCTCTGAATTATAGAATATAAAGAGTACATTGGCTTTGTTTGCTGCAGTGATACTTGCAGATAAGCCTCTCTGCATTCAAGGGTGATAGGATGGAATGACAATTTGGGGGTACTACATGTGTTCATTTAAGAGATTGGACAACCATTTGTCTGAAATGATATAGGGTTTCCTGCCTGAGCAGGGGGTTGGACTAGATTCTAGAACAAGAGTCCCCAACCTGTGGGCCACGGCCCAGTACCAGTCTGGCCTGTTGGCCACTGGGCCGTAGGAATGGCTGGTGAATGCGCGCACATGCTAGCAGCCCCATTTGCCCATGTGTGCGGGCGTTAGTGGCCCTATTTGCGCATGTGTATGTGTGCAAATTTGCCTGCTTGTCCCTTTCCCTCTGGGCCACCAAACTGGAAAGGTTGGGGACCTCTGGATTAGAAGACTTCCAAGATCTCTTCCAGCTGTTATTTTGTTAACATTCAAACCTCTTACTGAGTCATACGCTTGCTCCCACCTATTTATCATTCAGCATACAATTCAAATGGAGAAGACTGCATTTCTTCTCTATTAAATCTTGCTTTGATTGGCAGGTAGGTAGGCAAGCTGCTAAGAGCCCAGTTGTGCCAATGATGAGGCAGACAAGAAAAGTCATCTAGCACACAAATGATGTGTATTTGTACAACTCACTACACCTACAAAGATAATTTCCCAAGAAGCCCCCCCCCCTTCCTTTGCATTTCTCTCCTTTCTCAACCCCAAATCTTTGTTAGTTCTTTGCCTGCATGAAAACTTTCAATCGATCTAGCGGGGCAGTTCCAGTCCTAGAGACAGCACCAGCCATAGCTCCAGCTATGAGTTGTTTCCACCACATCCCAGTTTTCTTCTCTTTCTCAGAAAACTCATCAGGAACAGTGAGGCACTCCCCAATGTCAAGGACCTATCAAAACAAGGGAAAAACAATAAGGGGTCAAGCACTTTATTTAGATATACCATTAGGGGAAATATGCTAGAGTCAAAAGTAATGGGCAAATATTCTAAAGGGACTCATCTTCAAATTTCACTGTACTGAATTCAAACACTATTGATATTTTGGTTTGTTATATTGCTGGAATTGAAGATGAACCCAGAGTCAGAATATGCTGGGGATCACTACTCTGCATAACTGCTCAAAAAGTAAGTTCTATTCCTATCTCCTATCTTTAAGTTTCCTTAAACTTTTCAACCAAATTAAGTCACTAGAAATATATTCATCTTCTCACATTCTGGCCTCTCCTTTTTTGCATTGACATGCAAAGCTTTCCTACCACATGCTGCTGTTGAGCCTTCTTACACTCCTGTTTCCAAAGATTTCTGATTATGGAATTAATGCAGTCTGTATCCCAAGCTAAATCAGGGGTTGTAAATCACAAATGAAGCTGTGTCTGATTAGCTGATGACCTGTTGAGAATCCTGCTCAAATGCGACTGGAGGTTAATACTGAAAGCACTGTGCTCAAGAACTCACAACACTGAATGAAAAATGAAAATCAGGCTGGCACACATAAGACTATTTTGCAAAAAGCTATAAAAAATGGCATGGACTATCACAGTGATGGCGAACCTTTTAGAGACCGAGTGCCCAAAAACTGACCCCGCTCCCGTTCAACCTCCTGCTCTGCCCTTCCATCCCCTGCCCTGCCTGCCCATAGGACCACTCACCGCCTCCAGGACCCACCGCAGATCGCCCAGGCAACCCAACAGCTCTATGGCAGCCACGCCCTCTGCCCACGCCCTGCAGCATCAACTGTGCATGATGGGGTGTGAGTGCAGAGTCTTGTCTACGCTGCCTGGCTGTCGTGTCCTTGGCTGTACTGCTCCGTGTAGGCCACGCTCAGGGGTGACTCTCCTTCAGGGGGGGCTTCTGGAGAGGAGGGGGTCGTGCGGGGAGGCGAGGCTGGGGCAACGGCATGTGTGCCCACAGAGAGGGCTCCGAGTGCAGCCTCTGGCACCCGTGCCAAAGGTTCACCACCACTGGACTATCAAAGTAGTCATAAGCCTCAATGTATATCCTTATCTAATTTTTTAAAGAAAGTAGTTAAAATATCTTGGTCTCTACCCATTGGTCCTCAGTTTTGGCATTAATCCTTAGAGGTTTCCTTAGTCATACTTTCTCCTTTCTCAATATCACAAGTTTAAAGTCTTTTTCCTGCTCAAGGATGGAAAATGAAATAATCCAAAAGAAGGAAAAACTTGAGACTGAATCACCATGAGATTATAAATTTAATTGTCTAAATACAATACACCCCCTACTGTGAATCCTGCCAATTCAAAACATTGCCCTCCTATCCAAAATATTCCTTTAAAAACACCAAACAGAGCATCTATGGCAAAACAAATTAGTTTAACATTACTTTTCATTTTAAAGGTCTTGGAAAAGCACAGGTCCAGGGGAACAGAATGACAGTGCAGCTGGGATAGTAAATTGATTCAATACCGGCAACTTAAAGACCAGAAAAACCAGATTAAAATATCTTCTCAATCAGAAAGCTCTCACAGATGATCTGGGGCAAGAATAGATTCCTAGGGTTAATTTGAGGATAAAGTGTTGTTATGATAAGCTCCTTGGAGAAAAGGTAGAATAAAAATACTGTGTAACAAACCAATGAATTTATCCCAATCAACTGCAAAAATTGCATAATTATGTAAAGAATTATATAAAGAAACCAGCTGTTTCAGCGTTTATCAGAAAGTGAAGAAGGTATAGGTAGTGCACCGAGATCGTTAGCTCCTTTGTTGTGTGTTGTTAAGGGCCCTGTTAAAGAGCAAAACAGACTCAAGTGCTGCTTTTTTTTCTACCAACACCAGAAACACACATTCATTCTGCATGGAACCCAGTTATCATAAACAGCTTGCCAAAGTCCCTGTACTCCTGTTTTTATGATGAGCTACAAGACATAAACAATTAAGGGGGCTCAGTGAGCCAAAGGGAGGGCAACAGAACTACAGTAGAAGCCTAAGGAATTTGGAGTGCAGAGCAAAAGAAGAAAAAGAAGTGCAGAAGGAAGCATTGCCTGACCTACCAAATCAAAGTCCTCCACAATGGACTCCAAGCCTTTGCAGTGTTGATGGTCAGCCTCCCACAGTTCTACCAGGGTCAGCAGCTTTGCATCACTATGGATCCCTGAGGCACTGGGTACCTTCCTGATAGAAAAGAGCTTTTCCATGATAGGCAAGATGAAAAGGCGGCAAAAAAGGGACGGAACCAAGTGCTCCAGCAATCTTCTAATGGGATTGAAGAGCTAAAAGTGGATGGGGAGGGATTTGAAAGAGTCAATCCTAACAGCATTTGTGGATTACAGCCACATGATAGGAAATGGACCTGCTCCAATCCAAGCAGAATCTCAGAAGCTGGGAAAGAAACAGATCTTTGGGAAGTGGTGGACTTGAGATATTTTGATGCAGTAGAAAGCAAATGCAAGTGAAGATTGGCTCCCACCGAATAGAATGTAGGGTATAATTCATCTGACATTTTCCTAACTTTATTTTAACACAAAATATTAATTTATTGAAATGGGGCTTCGCAGACCTTCCCATGGGTTGCACACAAACTCCATACATCTCCCTAAGCCTGTCAGCAGATATGGGGATGCCATTGGTAACATGAACTGTCTTTTGGTCTCCATTCCAATCAATGGATTCCTCATTATTTTCTCAATACTATGAATATGGACTGGAATTTCAACCATCTTCTATCCTTATCAATCTCAAAGTACAACACAAAACAAGAATACGTCTGCTGAGATCAGATGATCAGACATCCCAGTTTTTCCAAGACAATCCTAGTCACTGTATGTTGAGTTTAATTTAAAATACATGATGGTTGGTAGCTTACACTTTTTCTAAAATTTGACTAGGCTACATGCACTCCTGACTTCTACCTTGGCACATCCTAGGAAGCTTTGACTATCTCTGTTCTCAGCACATCTGCTACAGATGACTTTTTGTTTATATATAAACTTTAATCTGCCCTATTTCAATCGACTGATGAGATTAACATGGTGAGAAGATAGAGAACCTTGGCTAGTAGCCAGCCCAGAGATAATAAATTTTCAGATCCTCTTTTTCCTAGAGGATCCTGCAATGAAGCAATCCCTCACAGGGATACATGTGTTTGGAAACCCAGATCAAAGGCAAACATAATCTTTGGAGTTTTGGCACATTGTAAAAAGAGTTTTCAGGCTCCATTACAAAGACCACAAAAATTGCATAAGGCAAATAGCACTCCTTCCAATGAGAGGGCCTACTAATTAAAGCCAAAGATAAAATCAAGGCTAGCCACTCCCATACTAGAAGAATTCTACTGTGAAGGATCTATCCAAATATAATCAAGATACCCCTTGCCCAAGGCAAAGAATGGCCTCTGCTACATGAGTGAGACCATCAGATGGCTTTACTATTAAAGGATCTTTGTTCAATTCTCCAAAAGAAAAGAAAGAAGACATTCCAAGCATGTGGTCAGGAAAAATCCCAGCATTCCCTGATCATTCCAGATTGAACAAAATTGATTGGCAGGTGATGGAAGAAAAAAGCTGGTTTAAATCAAAGGCAATAACCTCCACTCCCCCAAATATAGGTGGTCCTCAACTTACAACCGCAATTGAGCCCAAAATTTCTGTTGCTGAGAGGTTTGTTAAGTGAGTTTTGCCTCATTTTACAACCTTTCTTGCCACAGTTGTTAAGTGAATCACTGCAGTTGATAAGTTAGTCACCTGGTTGTTAGGTGAATCCAGTTTCCCCATTGACTTTGCTTGTCAGAAGGTCACAAAAAATTATCACATGACCCCGGGACACAGCAACATAAATATGAATCAATTGCCAAGCATCTGAATTTTGATCATGTGATTATGGGGATGCTGCAAAGGTTGTAACTGAAAAATGGTCCTAAGTCACATTTTTCAGTGCTGTTGTAACTGTGAACGGTCACTAAATCAACTGTTCTAAGTCGAGGACTACCCGTACAGCCTCTTTGGCTGTGTGTTTTTTTTCCTTTCCCTGTTTTCTAAATTCCATAAATGCATTTCTTGCTTAGGTCATAAAGATCCCTTTGATGCAGCATTTTTCAAACTTGGCAACTTTTAAGATGTATAGATTACAACTCCCAGAAATCTAGGAGTTGAAAGCCAGGCATCTTAATGTTGCCAAGTTGGGGAAACACATTCAGCCCCCATGTGCTTACAGACTTCAACCCCAGCCAATACCTGCAGCATTCAGGAAGGCAGGAAAGAAGTAAGCAAATATAAAATAAATTCCCAGGTTACTTATTTCTTGACTGATTTGCCAAAACTGCACAGACTTTCTAATTGGGGGGAGGGGGGTGACAGATCTTTTCCATGTAGGAAAAAAAATATAAAATTCACAGTTGGAAGAAATGTAATTGCTTTTAAATGGCAGAATTCAGCCACTCGGGTTTGTGAATAAAATCTCCCAAATTAGAACGTGTGCTTTAGCCAGGAAGCTTGTGGTTTAAAGTCAGCTTTGAAATGTAGATTGTAAACTAAATGTTATTTTAGTGCAAGCAACATAATGCATACATTAGCATCTATTAGCATCCGATGTGGCACCCATACCCTGCCTCTAATCAAAATGGGCATTAATAATGCATTTTAAAATTTTGTGAGAATGCCTACAATGCTACCATTGAACTACAGCAGTCAATCTACAATTTCTTTCTCTTAACAAAGAGGACCTATCTGGCCATAAGGAATAACAAAGACAAAAACTCTTGTTAAGTTTCTTGAAATTAGCATCTTTCACCTGTTACATATAACAGAAATAATGATTATGACATGAAGACAGCAAGGAACATAGAATAGAGAAGTTATTTTGCAATTCCAGAATTTTGTGTTCAAGCATTTTTAAAAGGTGCAAGCATCTACACATACAGCTTAATTGTGTTCAGAGGATTGATCAGGAGCAGGGTGGGAGGAAAAAGGCTGAGGTGGGTGGGTTAAATATGTATAAGTCAGAATACCTCCCATCATGTCTTGTCCAGCAGTGTGGATAGGATATGGCAGGATTCTTTGCAATGAAACACTGAAGAGGATCAAATTGTGGGGATGCTACCCTGCAGTTTTACCCATAACAAAAAACAGAGAAGCAGGAACATAATGCAAAAGAAAGCACTCATGTTTGGATAGCTCTCTCTCAAATAATGTATGGTCTAAAGAATAACTTGTTCCCCAAAAGCCAACAAAGTATTATCATGTATATGCCACTCATTTCCCTAATAAGGCGACATCCAGTTTTCCCTTAATAAGTCGCCTCATCTGAGGATCTCTATTTGATAAAGAGAATGCAAATTCTATTCATAAAACTCTCCCAATCTTATAATGAGTCCTCAAGATGATGTTGGCCTGCAGTTCATGGTAAGGAACGAGGATAGTTATAGTCCAATAACATCCGAAGGATCTCCCCCCCCCCGACAGAATGAGTGGAAGGAGAACAGCCTTATAGTCCCATTCAAGTCCTTGGTGCTCTTTATGGCCATTTTCTCCCCAGTGGAAATACAAGCCAGGGTCTTTAGGACACCCAAGAAGCTGCCTTGAATCCCCTGATCTGAGACAGTTATTTCAGACCAAATATGTGGCAATAATTACAACTGGCTGGCAATATTCAGTTTAGACTGGGGAAACACAGCACACTAATACAGTTGTTTAATGTAAGAAAGATGTAAGTGTTCTTTTCCCCAAAGCTACATCCATGCTGTATTCAGTTTCTTTCCAGACCTAATCATCAGAGCGAAGAAATGTGACTTGCCTATGGGCTGTTCACCTATTGGATCTGATGTCTTCTATTTCTGTAACTCCAGCTTGCCAATTTTCAAAACAGTGGAGTGGGATGGCATAATACACAATAATCCCAGGCCTGGCTAGATGGGAAATATGGCTTACCATTGAGTGCTTCCAAAAGTGCACTATCTCTTCCATGTTCTCTAGTGGATTGAGGATGAAGTGATCTCGCCACTCATTCCAATCAATGGTCATAGTGCCATCTTTGTCGATGCTGCAAAACACAAGCCCACACAGTACTGAGGACAAGGAACTATGTTGGGTTTATTCTAACATTCTTTACGAAAACAAGCTTCGCTGTAGAAATAAGGGGGCAACCTAAAACAGAGAAGGTGCTTTGTTCAAATGACAGGATAGAATGCAAAAAAGAAATTCCGGTGTCTTTGCTGGAACTTATATTATATATATATATAATGCTCAGATTCAGAGAAGGCACTGAGAGCCGGTAGGATAAACCAGAAGCCTCAGATCATCTCTGAGCGCTGTCCTCTCCTTCAACCTTTTAGTCCAGCTGGACAAAAGAAATGAATGCAACTGCTAGGTTTCATTCCAACACAGCAAAGTGAGACATCTCTGAGCCACCTTTCAGATATTGTAGGATAAGGAGATAGGAGGAGTGCAAAGCAAGAACAGTTTGAGCCTCACCTGTGCAAGATTTTCTCTGCTTGCTGGAGAGAGATGTAAACTCCCAAGCTGTGGAAAGTTTGCTGGATCTCGGAGACATCGATCTGGCCTGTAACATAAACACAAAAACAAGGAGCATGGCTATCCATTTGGGGATTAGAGTTCAGTCCAGGAAGCTGATGGGTTAAGAGAAGTCTAGAAGGGCTCCAATAAGGTGAAGTGAGCTGTGCTCAAAATTTTCATGGGCCTAAGAAAGAAAGAGAGAGAGAGAGAGAGAGAGAGACAGAGTCAAAGGACTAGTGGGTTTGGAGGAGTTGGCAATGACAATTAATGCCAGGTATCATCTTGGAAGTTTTTTCAGGGCTGTATATTGCAAGTTCAGGGAAAGAGACTATAAAATCAGCCATCCCTGTCTTCCAGACCGCCAATATTTATGTGAATCTTCCCAGCTTGAAGAGGAACTGATGGGGAGTTAGAGCAAATTTTTAAAGAACTGGACTAGAGGATAAACAAGCTCACAGGGCTCTGCAAAAGACCAAAAGGGAGATTGCTGGTTGGATATTGGAGAGCTGTATTAAGAGAATGAATGAGAAGGAGAACACAGAGCAGTCAGTATAAATGAGTGCTGGGTGAAAAAGAAAGCATAGCTGAAAAGTGGGCTCCTGCAACACTGTGAAAGATTGATTAGCTTAGTTTCTAGAAGTCCACTGTAAAGAATGGTGTGGTTAACATTTGCCTCAATGTTATGCCCCAAAGGCATCAATCTGGTCCCAGCTCCAGGAAATGCTTTGCTAAAACTAGGAACGCAAGCAAAGCAGTGTCAGGTCTGGGTGGGGTATTGGCCACAATCTGTTGAACAATCAACCAGCTTTTTCCCTCCCAGAAGGTTTGGAACAGAGAGTGGAAAAAAGAGTGATGCTAATTGGTTATACTGTTTTTTCTATAGTTTTAATTTTTAATTTACCACTAAGAGCACTACATAAATCAAAATATTGATGAATTAATGCCTGCATGTATTCTTGACAGGGCAAGGCTTTCTTCAACTAGACCTAAAAATACTAGCGGCAAAAATAGAAAGATGGATGGTAATTTTGTTTTAAACAAATCACATTTTGTACCAGATAGCTGAGACTGATTAAGATGCCTAAGCAACATTCATTTGGAGAACTACAGTACAAGCCAAGAATATAATGGCACCTGTCCTTATACTTCTAATCCCTATGGATTAGAATAGGAAAATCTCTATTTTCCCTTACAAATCTGTACAGTACTAAGAGTTTACAGGTCAGTGGTAAAGGATAGGAATGATATACAATCCTCCTTGTGAGGTTCATATATTACATAATGTGGTTTGTTGATTATAGCTTAATATCCTGTTTGAATCTATCCGATCTGGTTTTTAGCCATATTTTTCATCTTAGTCACAAACATAGCTGCTAGTGGACTTAGAATTTTCTTTTCTTTTTTCTTTTTTATTAAAAGTTTTAAAGATTTTATACAATATATATCCCAAATCCCTCCCACCCCTCCCTCACTTCCCAGTGCTGATTACAGGGTTACAAATAAACAATCGTAATCTAACTAACATTACCCAACTATACAAACAGTCAAATCCATAACATGCTTTAACTCCTTTTCAAAATAAATATTAACAAATTAAATACGAAAATAATAATATAATTAAACCATAAAACTAAGAGTAATATAAATTCTACCATATCAAACTATTAATAATAATCTAAAATTTACTCATAAGCTAAATAATACTTTTTAGTCTCATATTTATTCTGAATATAATCTATCCATCTTCTCCAAACTGAAATATATCTTTCTTGTGAGTAGTCCTTCAAATAAGTGGAAATTTTTGCCATTTCTGCTAAATTAGACATCTTGAGTATCCATTCTTCCACAGTAGGCAAAGAATCTTTCTTCCAGTATTGCCCCACCAATAATCTTGCAGCTGTTATAAGATTCAACATCAAATTAATTTCTTTAACATCAAAATCTACAATAACACCTAACAAAAATAATTGTGGCGTAAACTTAATCTTTCTCTTAGAAATCTTTTGAATGTTCCACCAAATCTTAATCCAAAAAGCTTTTATATTTCTACAAGTCCACCAAATATGAAAATAAGTTGCATCTAAGCTTCCACATCTCCAACATTTGGGCTATAAATTAGGATACATACAGGACTTAGAATTTTCTTAATGTGCTATCTCAGTGGTTCTCAACCTTTTCTTCATCGTGGATCCCCTTTAAATA